TGTTTTCGGGTTAGTCTGATGGGGTGCCAACCCCTGGCCCCAAAGTCTATTTTTGGCATTCCCTGGGGACTTAATTGCTGTGTTCCCCTTGCTTTTCTGTTGCACGCCCTTAGTGTTTTGCCTCGGTGTGGCAGGATCAGATCGGGTGCAATTCCCAGTGTCTCCAGTATTGTCCCCTGTAGGGGGCTCTGCCTCTTTTTTGCTGCCCCGCTACTTAACCAAACATGATGTCGTTTTCCAGGAACTGATCTGTCCTGATTACGTACATGCCCAAAGTACATGAAACAATGTCTCACCGTCCTTGCCTTTGGGAATTAGGAAGACCACATTTCTGGATTTTTTTATGTATAAGAGAGAATTGTATAAATGTTAATTTAAAGCAAGAAACCCTTGTGGCCATTAATGAACAGATTGGCAATTAAAATTGTGCAGCCTGTGTGGGAGAAAGACTTGGTTGTCTGCTTCCATAAGGAGTCTTGGTGGCAATGTGGGGTAGGTGTTGGGCTCCTACCTTCTAGTTTTGTGGTTCAAATCCACCTGCTACTGTGCAAGAGAGAGATGAGGATGTCTCTTCCCGTAAAGTTCCACAATCGTGGAAACCCTGTATGACAATGGATTTGAATTTGGTCTATTGGCTTCCATTCGAAAAGACTGCAGCCAAGAAAGCGGTCTCAGGCAGTAGTGTTCTGGTGCACGAGGCCCCCGTGAGTCAGATAGAAGCGATGCACCCGACAATAGCAACAGCTTTAGTTGTATACTGTATATTGTGATCATTGAAACCGTGTGGCTTTTCTGGGCCTGTGGCAGGTGGTGCTGCAGGCGTTGTCTCCAGAATCACAGGCTCTGTTGGGAAAGGGTTGGCAGCAATCACAATGGACAAGGAGTATCAGCAGAAAAGAAGAGAAGAAATGGGTCGACAGCCTAAAGATTTTGGAGACAGCCTAGCCAGAGGAGGAAAGGGCTTGCTGCAAGTAAGTTTCCTGCTGAATCTTCAGGAAATTCTCAACTTTTATATATGTTGTGAAGTGTGCTCTCTAGCTGCTGGTTCAAAATCGGAGCCACTATATGTGACTCCAGGGTTGTTAAGGAGCCGTACAGCTACATTATGGGATTTCTGTTAAGTTTTACCACGAGATCTATTTCCAAAATTCCCAGACTTTGTTTGGCATGTGAACTGGGGTGACACTGTAATGATGGCAGGTGAACATTAGGTGGAAGGAGGAGAAGTAAGAAGCTGAGAGTGTGCTCAGTGATGGTAACTGGAGGGAGGAGGGTGCGTCCGCTCATCCTCGTCAGACCATTCTTAAGAAAAGACGTGCACAAGTTAAGTGTTGCAAACCAGGCATTGTCTTTTATTACTTTTCAGTACCTTAATATACAAATAAAATATGAATACTCTTCTTGTACATAACTAAAACACTACAGATAAAACTAAAATGGTCTTTGGTTGTTTCTCCATTCCTTCTCAGTGGTATGTAAGCTTTTCAATTCAGTCTGTACCTTTCAGTTACCTTTGTACACATTTATGTATGAGAAGCCATATACCCTGGTGGGTTGTGCATTGGGCTGCTAAACCCAAGATCAGCGGGTTGAAACCACCAGCCACTCTGTGGGAGAAAGAGGAGGCATTCTATGCCCATAACAACGTGCACACTAGGAAAAGCACAGGGGCAGCTCTCCTCTGTGCTAGGGGCCCTTTGGGTTGGGATTGATGTGATCGCGGTGAGTTATAGTAGTTAGGGTTACTCGGACATTTGTTAAGGATGTCTACACATTGAGGCTTTCATTTGGGACATAATTTCAGCACACTACTACCACTGGGTGTGTGAAAGGGCTCTGATGTTGTAGCCCACATCCTCTGAAGCACTTTGCTTGTGCTGGGGTGCTCCTTCCACTTTCACTTCCCACAAGCTACGGATGAGCTTTGTTAAATTTCACAATTACATTTTAATGATTATTTGACTTGACTCATTCTACTCACGTAGAAACCAAAAAGAACCATTTGAATCAATCACGGTTCCATAGCTGATCAGTGCCAGAGAGAAATTTACAATCTTTTCAAGTACTTTCTTGTTCTTTCTCATAGAAAATTTTACTCCTACAAGGCAAGTTCATTTAAAATGTGCCATGGTATATAATCTTTTTAGAACCACAATGCATGTTGTTCATATTATGAATTGAGTTCTGAATTTTATTTTTCCTTCGTTATTTTTGCTATGTCGATAGAGACCTCTAGTGGTCAGCTTAAAATTAAGCTCCTCCCATTCAGATGATGCTTTCTGATTGATTTCTCTTCCAGGGAGTTTTTGGTGGTGTGACTGGAATAATAACAAAACCCGTGGAAGGTAAGTTGGGGTTTCACTCCTGTGTCGATCTGAAGGGTTGGAGCATGGTGAACTTACCAGTCATTAGCGCTACTAGATGATTGATTAAGTGATTCACTGACTTTGATTTCATAGTCTCAAAATTATTATGTAATGAATATACAAAAGATTAAGTGGTACATTTTTTTTATTATTCATTTTATTAGGGGCTCATACAACTCTTTTCACAATCCATCCATCCATCCATCCATCATTGTGTCAAGCACATTTGTACATTTGTTGCCATCATCATTCTCAAAACATTTGCTTTCTACTTGAGCCCTTGGGATCAGCTCCTCATTTTTCCCCTCCCTCCCCGCTCCCTCCTCCCTCACGAACCCTTGATGATTTATGAGTTATTATTGTTTTGTCACGTCTCACACTGTCCGACGTCTCCCTTCACCCTAAGTGGTGAACTGTGACCCAGACTTCCCACGCTGTTTTCATCAGGCCTGTGGGTATGTGCTAGGTTCTTCAGCCCTTTATAGCAACTGACGCATTTAAAAAATTATTTTTAAATAACCTCGTTTTCAATTTCCGTAGTAAAATCTCACCTCTCTTCTTCATAGAAATGTATAAGGTGATTCTAAAATCCATATGGAATTTCAGAGTACCCCAGGTAGTCAAAACAGTCATGAAAATGAACGAACTTGGAGAGCTCACGGTTCCCAATTTCGGAACATACTGCGAACTGCTGTGATTAAGATAGCGTCGTGCAGGTATAAGAGCAGACACCTAAACCAGCGGCAAGTTTAGAAACGAACCCTCGTGTGTTCAGTCAGTTGATGCCAAGGTACTTCACATAGGAGATTGTGCTCAGACACCTGGGTACCCACACGTCAAGGCAGGCAGAGAGATACTTCCTCACACTGTTCGCAAAATTTAATCAAATGCGTTATAAACTTAATGTAGGAACTTGAAGGTATGTAATTCCTAGAATAAAATGTAGGGTGAAATCTTTATGACTTTGAGTTAATGAAAACCTTCCTATATAATACACCAAACAGACACATCCTGAAGTGGAGCACTGTCAGTGATAATGTGCACACATCGACATGGAAGACTAGTTAATACAACTATTAAGATTTTTTTATCATGGCATTTAGAATGATTTTTATTCATTAAATTGTCATTTTCATAACACCATGTTCAGTATTTATGGTGGTGGTACACAAATTAATTTTTACAGTAAATTATAAAATATTTATGTTCAAGCATGAACAGAAAAGAGCTCACAAGGATCTTATAAGTAAGCACGTTTTTGTGACCATTTTATAGTTTGTACCTTTTAAAGAATTAAAAATATTATTTTATTCTATACTTAAGTATCTTTCAAGATAATTGTCAAGTAATTTTAAATGGTTGTCCACAATTATAAGATAATTAGGTGGCCTTATAGCGCTCAGAAATGGCTCATTGTTTCTTGCCACAGTAAGATTTCATCTGAGATAGAAAACCCAGTTTAAGCAGTATTTCTAAATCCATGTCACTCATTTAACGCTGCAAAGCTTTAGAATCTGCAAATTTCTCAATTAGCTAAAAACCTGTTTTCATTAAAATTTTTGGAGAGATTTAAACAAGAGCATGATTGAGCGAAACTACATATGCATCAAATCAGCAAAAGAGACTCAATTCAGATCTTTATACTTCAAGCCGTTTGTGCAGGTTGGCTTGGGATGAGGGGCAGGCAGATGAATGAAGACTATCCAGTGGTGCATTGTGTAGAGCAAAACAGGGAGGCACATCCGCTCCTGTGATCGGCAGTTTACCTCTTATAAAGCTTTTTATTACAACCAAAACAAAATCCAGACTAGGCTTTTGGCTGAAGCTGAAGGAAATATTATATTTGGGCCAGATGGTTCGAGAGAAAGTTGACAGGTTAGGTTCAGTTGTTGGGCTCAAGATGACTATCATTGACTGAAAATACTGCATTAATTTTTCAGTTCACCTTCTTGAGTTTTTGGCTGTTGGGGCATTCATATTCCTGTCAGTAGTGGTAGCTGGGCACGATGTACTTCTGCTCTCCGGGTAGTGGAGGCTGTGATTCAGGTGGTCCTTTGTAATCACTGTTTCCTTGAGCTTTGAATTTTCTTCACTCTTCTTGGGGGATGCCCGGCTCCCAAGGGGACGCCGGTCTGGGAGGAGACGGGAGCGAAACCCCGCACCCGATGCCGATTCTGTTCTCTAACTGGAGACCGTCCCAACACAGCACCCAGGCAATTGGGCATCTACCACCTCGGCCCCCGACCTTTCCCGTTGGCTCCGAATCAAGCTCACAACTATAAAGATTTAAGAAGCAGCCACAAATGTCAAAAGATGATGGAATTGAAGATATTTCACCAACTGCTGTAGCCTGGGATTGATCAAACATGCTATCAAAATGCATATATAAATTTCTGGTGATTGGAATGCAAAAGTTGGAGACAAAAAAGGAATTGGTAGTCAGAAAATATGGCCTATGTTATAGAAATGATGCTGTAGATTATATGATTAAATTCATTGAGATTACTGCTATTTCAACAATACAAACGAGATTTTATATGGCCTTACTGGATGAAATACTTAAAAGTTATTTGGGGAAAGAGATTTTGGGAAAAAAACTGTCAGTCAGAACAAAGGTAGGGGCCACTTGTGGAACAAATCATCAGTTTTAATCGTATGAAATTCAAGTTGAAGCTGAGGAAAATTAAACTATGTATGTAAGAGACAAAATATGACCATGAATATATCCCATCTGAATTTAGAGACCATGTCAAGTTGTAAGAAGACATCAAACACGAAGAAAGAAAAACTGAAAATACAAGAAAGAAAGATAAGACCATACTGGATTCTCTAAGGGATTCTGAAACTTGTTCTTAAACATCTAGACGCTACCAGAGCTTAAATTGTGAGCACTTGGTTTGCAGAGGGCTATGATGGATGACAGTGGAAGCCCAAAATCCATTTGCAGGGGCCATACATGCTTTAAGTCTCTGGAAAATCCCCTCTGAGCGTAGTTGAGGGCTGTGAATTGCCCTGTTTTCAGACAGAGCATTATAAAGTTGACTATGGCAGACAAAGGTAATATCATTTGATCACCCCTTTGACTCACTTTATAGCTGTTTCAGTTAAAAAAAAGAAGAGGAAATACATGTGGATTAAGCCCCTGGTGAATCCCCTCCGACCATGGATCAGGGATGTGAATCGTCTTGCCAACATGCAGACTGCATTAGAAAGTGGATTGTTGCAGATGTAGTTAGGTTAAATTGTAGCACTCTATCATTTGATCTCCCTATGATCCATTTAAATTTGTCCTAGTTTTTAATATTTTTACCATTTTTTGATTGAAGTTTTTATCTTTTTTACTGTTTTTTTTTAATGGTTTTCTTTATATGAAATCGAGGACAGTAAATCTATAGAGATAGTAACTGGATTAATGGTTCCTTGCTCAAAGGGTGTCTTGGGAAGGCAAAGTGAAGTATTTTAACATGTGCACGCATTTGGAATTAGAAAAGCAGAGGTAAAAGCACATTTGACATTTCTCAAACTGAAGTGAAAATTCAAGTCTTGAGTTGTAATATTGAAGGATTCAGTGAGGAAACTTGAATGGTGCAGAAAGCATCAAAGAAGACAGAAAGGGATAGATACCAGAGTTACTGTATCAGAAAGAATCGGCCAGTATTCAGCCGGCTCAGGATTAACATATAATCAAGAACCAAGGGTACTGAGGGAAGACACCCTTTGAAATCTGTTTAGCATTTACTTTATTATTTCTTTCATTCACTTTATTTATTTTCAAGTTTTATTGGTATATCATTTACATATCAAACAATCCAATAGTTCAGGCACATAAAGAGATGTACCATCATCACCAAAATCCGTTTTAGAACACTTTTTCAATCTTGTACTCATCATTAGCTCCTCATTTCCCAACCTTCCCTGCCGTGTCCCCAAGGAACCAATTAAAAAATAGACTGAGGCTATTAAGATTTTATCTCAAAAACGTTGACATGTTCTCCAAAGGAGGACCCAGCCCCGGAGGGAAGGCGTCAGGCTTGGCAAAGTAGAAGGTCAGTGGGAAAGATGAAGATGCCCAGAAAGAAGGATTGGCACAGGGGCTGCAGCCGTGGCCTCCAGCAGGTCAGCGACTGGAGAGTGAAGCGGGCCTGGGCCGTTGTTCAGACGGCTACATGAGTTAGAACTGACTAGATGTCACCCACCAATCAGGGTGTTTCAGTGGGATGTGGAAGATGCGAAGTGTAAAATGGTGTAACACTTTGTAAAACAATCTGGCAGTTCTTCAGGAGGTGTACATAAAGTAACTTTATGTCAACAGAAATCCTACTCTTAGATATGTTTCCTATAGAAAGGAAAACATCTTTACACAAAGACCTTTACAGGAATGCTCAGAGCAGTATTATTCTTAAAATTAAAAAACTGGGAGGAACCCAAATGTCCATCTCTTGGAGAGTAGTTAAGTAGAAGGTTATCTATGCATGTAGTAGAATATTATTCGGCCATAAATAGGAACTGAAGTGCTGATACGTTTCACTAAATGGATGTACCTTAAAAACAGTGAAACTTTTTGTTTTTTTTACCAAGCCAATTCCAAAAGACATTTGTATGAAATGTCCAGAATTCATCCAAAGTCTATAGAGACAGAAAGTAGGCTAGGAAAGATGGAAGAAGGGTAGTTAGATGCTTAGGACTGGTGTAGAGAGAGATTGGGGGAAATGAGCAGTGATTGCTCAGGGCCACTTTTGGAAATGGTTGCTTGTACTGTAACACTGCATATACTAAAAACCATTTAATTTACACAACTTCCACTCATAGCTACTGATTTGTACAGCCTCACAGTTTCAGGTCTGAGGTGGAGCCAAGTAATTTGCTTTTCTGATGTGGTCCATGCTTTGAGAGCTAGTATCTTATTATGCTAGGGTTACATTTAACTTCTTTGGAAAGCCAAAGCCTAGAAGCCACCTGGGGCAAACAGCTCAGTACCTGGCTCGGGTGTTTGTTGCATTCAACTTACTTATTTTAAAAGATATCTTTATTTATTCATTGTATTTGCCTTTCTAAAGGTGCCAAAAAAGAGGGAGCTGCTGGATTCTTTAAAGGAATTGGAAAGGGGCTTGTGGGTGCTGTGGCTCGTCCGACAGGGGGCATCATAGACATGGCTAGCAGCACCTTCCAAGGAATTCAGAGGTAATTGAGTACATACTGTGTGTAAGGTCTGGGTCTGTGTGCTAATTGGTTCGAGGACACATTACTAGGTTAGCTCCTTTGCCTGTAAGCATCTTAGAGATTGATGGAAAGCAATGGCAGGTTCACATAGTTGAGTGCAACCAGAAAGGTCAAGACCTTTTTTATGGTTTGATTTTTCATTCCTTCAGCAAGTGTTTTCTGGTACCTATTGTATGCCAGGCAAGGAGTAGACAACCGGTCGTCGTTGTTGTTGCTACTTGGTGCTCTTGAGTGGGCTTCGAGTCGTTAGTGACTCCATATCATCACTTCTGTGCTGTTAGAAGCTGTGTCACCATACCAGCACGTTTTAGCTGAGCTCCCAGACTAGGGCAGACTAGGACAGCCTCGGGTCTGCTTCTATTTTTTGATATTTTCTTTAAAAAATGTTTAAAAGTGCAGGTGTGGGGGAGTCGAACAGACTTGTTTATAATATCTGTTGCGTCATTTTGTTCAAGCTATTTTAAGTTACTTTGATTGCTTTCTCAAATCCTGATGTACTGTGAGATGTAACACAGTTTAATCAATGTATACGTGCACACCACTTTGAAAGGCTCTGGCATATTTTGTTTTGTTCTTTGCTTTATGTAGGGCAGCAGAATCAACTGAGGAAGTGTCCAGCCTCCGTCCCCCTCGCCTGATTCACGAGGATGGCATCATCCGGCCATACGACAGGCAGGAGTCTGAGGGCTCTGAGTTATTTGAGGTGAGTTTTATTCTTTATGGTCATGACCAGGATTTTATTATTTTTGAAGTTCCTAATTCATGAACTTCATTGAGCTTGCACTAGGAACATGGTTTGTAGAGTAGGATTTCAATATCTGGTCTTGTTGTAGCATAGTATGGGAAATGAAAATGGCTTTTCATTTTCACAAGAGCGCAGTGTTTTGGCACAGAAAGGAAGACCATAGAAGCAGCTGTGGGCTGTCTGACCCTTTCCGTGGCAGCTCATTTAGTTACTGTTGTTAACCCTGGGTCACTGGAAAATGCTTCCTTTTCCTGGAACCGAATTAGTTTATTTGTATGTTTTTAAACTTTAATTTTTTAAAAAGATTTTTTCTTATATTTTAGATTTAACTACTGCATTTAATTGATATGTGTATGTTTATAAATTACTGTTCTCCCTCCATGACGACTTTCTTCCAAAAGAAGTTTATTTATAGTTTCATACTTTGATTTTTAAATAAAGTGATTGATTCTTCATTGTTCTTAGCCTTTGGATTTTATTGTATGTGATTAGATTTTATCTTTCTGCATGCTTCTAACTTTATTTTCTTTCTTTTTCTGCCTACACAGCAAGAACTGGAAATACAGGAGTAAATGTTTCCTATACTACTACTTGATTTCATCCTTAAAAATCAAAACTGTGGTTATTAGTTGACTATCTTTGAATTATGTAGGTTGAGGGTCAATTTTCATGTTATATAACAAGTCTCACCTTCATGGGACTCTTCTGTTAGTAGGGGCTCGACTATGAATAAAGCCGGTGGCATTCCTGGTAATTCTGTACAGAAATAAGAGATCAACATAAAGATTCAAGATGTAGGGAATCAGCTCTCTTCTCCATTGAGTGGCTTGAAAGACTTTATTGAGCTCTAGAAGCACCTGTTTTGTTATCATTTAAAATTTTTTAATCTTTTCGTATGATAGTCATGTGAATTTCAGGTAAAATTTTTTTTTAAAGGGACAATTATGTTCAAATCTAGTGACTGTGTCCCTTATGTTTGTGAATCCTAATGATGGAATTCCATACTTGTTGTTTCATAAACCATCTTAGTTTACTGAACTTACGAGACTTGGGTAGAAAATGCCATCTATGTTGGATCTGGAATTAGACCTCAGAGAAGAGTTGGTACATGAATTTTGAGAATATTTCCTGCACTCTTTGTTGTTGTTGTTGTTTTAACTGCTCAGTGCTCTTGCTAAATAAACAGCAATCATTTTATAGTTATGTTATACTGCATCAGTCCCAGCTTTTAGTATTTATGCTTGACAAAAATTGAATCTCCTTGTTGGTGATATTTATTTCATGATTGTTAAGATTTGATTAATATAAATAGAAGTTGAACATCTAATTAGAGAAATTACTTATGTGATACTTGCATATATAGACATCATTTTTATAAGCCAACAATATTTGCTTTTAAGTCCTGACAAAGGATTCATTATCTTAATGAGTAAAAAAGACTAAATTATCATTTTGATACTAATGTTTCCATAGTTGATTTTCAGAATGATAAGTGATGGTTAGATTTTTTTTTTTAGTAGACGATAGGAGTGTTTCATTTGACGTAGCAGTATTTAAGTATTTAGTTAGCAAATTTCCTGCATTCTGCAATTGAAACCAAAGTAAAAACTTATATTTAATGTGTAGTATATTTGAAGGGAATGAAAGTATTAGTTGTAACTGTTAATTTGGAGTATACTAGGTACACCAAGAAAACTGGATCCCCCCCCCCAAAAGCTAGACATTTAAGTTTTTTTACAAAACAATCTTATCACCATCTTTAAAGTATTCTCTATTATACTTAATACATTTGTCAAATCTGTGATTCCATTCTTGGAAACATTTTTCAGACTCATCTGTTTGAATGGCTGACAGCCCTTCCATGTTTTTATCTTCACATCTTGTACGGCTTCAAATCACTGTCCTTACATAGCCTTCTTCATTTGCTAAAACAAAAGAAGTCACATGGAGTGAGGTCAGGTGTGTGGAGCAAGAGAAGGCATGCTGGTTTTTTGCCTCAAAGTGGTGCACTGAGATGGCTGCATGAGCAGCTGCATGGTTGTGGTGGCAAAACCTGTCCCCCTCTGCCACAAATCAGGCCTTTTTGTCATGAACTGTTACACAATCTTTTCAGAACCTCTAAATAGAAAGCTTGATTAACAGTCTGACCAAATGCACTACAAGTAGACATTTTCATCTGTTTGGTAAGTTGATGGACATCCACAACAAGATTTGTCATCAATTGACATTTCACGTTTTTTGAAATGAGAAAACTTCTTGTACATAGAGTTTTTCCCATAGTGCTGTCCTTGTAAGCTGCATTCAACTTCACAACAGTTTCTGCGGCATTTTTTCCCGAGCAGGAAACAAAATTTCACAACTGCACGCTGGTTTCTAAATCAGCCATCACAAAAAATGAGATTCGAGTGAAACAGCTTTTATGAAAAAATTCACTGTGACCAGAGAGAACCTTCCCACGTGATGCCACTGGGTGCATTAACTCAGAGGAAGTTGCTCGATGCTTGCCTAGTGGTAGAAATGTGAAGCAATGCTCTCCCCAACACGATTCTATTTTTGGGGGGCAGGGGGAGGGGCGGAGGATCCCCTTGTATATGATTTTTGAAAAGTATAAATTGAAGCAAGAGTGACATCCAAAGATAGCTTGGAACTGTATTTGGCAAACTTTTCTTGTGCCTAGATAACTGGGTTACAAAACTGTTGCATACATATAAAATTTTCCGTGAGGCTCAAGCACACTAGCTAATTAAATATATTGCTTAAATCATCACTAATAATTACTGCCCCTTCTTAGGTAAATGTAATGATTTTTAATTTTCCTGGATATATTTAGATTTCAATAAGACTGTTTTTGAGAACTCTGTTAGCTCATTAAATTTTTCTTCTTTGTGTTTTTCTGTTAGTGTTACCTTTTCCCATATGACTGTGATTTCTAAAAACTACATGTTATAAAACACTACTAATAGGAAACCTTTTAGTATTTTAGCAAATTACATAGTCATCTTGGGTTTTTTTGTGTGATTTTTGTATGATATTAGACAAACTTTTTAACTTATTGTTATGGCCACTAGAAGAAGGAGAATGGTTGTATACGAATGAGAAATTTTGTTTTTTTCCTCCCATGGTTATTAGCAAGATAAGGCAAGGATGATTAAAACTCAAGCTATTTCATTTGTTATTGACCTTGCTTTGATCAGTTAGTTGGATAACATATATTTGTTATTGTCTGTTGCATGTTCTCCCCTTTGTACATCCAAAGACTTCTATCCTTAAGGGACCAACTGTAACAAAATATCAATATTAAGAAAGCACTGCATTATAAAATGGTATTTTCCTAGACCTTGGGTTTGGGAACATGATAAATAATTTATTTGTGGGTGTTTTGATTTACCCCTTTTCTTTCCCCTAGTTTTCTCCGGTGCTCTTTACTAACAAGGCTTTGAACGTTGCAAAGTCATCCAGTATGTTTTCATAGCACATAATTCCTGTTTAGTCTCTCTTCTCCTAGGATAATCACTCTATGTTTTTTTAAAATCGTTTTACTGGGGGCTCGTACAGCTCTTAGCACAATGCATATATCCATCTATTGTGTGAAGCACATTTGTACATATGTTGCCATCATCATTCTCAAAACATTTTCTTTCTATTTGAACCCTTGGTATCAGCTCATTTCTCCCCTCCCCCACCCTCCTTCTCTCATGAACCCTTGATAATTTATCATTTTTTTCCTGTTTTACACTGACTGTTATCTGTAGATCTTTGTGATGGTTTCCCCTCCCCGCCCCCTCTTGGCATTGCTACCATATTATTTTACATGTTCTTTCCGCTTCCCGGACATCTCAGTTCTCGCGTTGCGGTCCACTGTGGTCCCCTTGTTGGCATATCCGTTCTTCACTGTGGCATTAACATTGTTTCCCTTAGTTTACTAACACACGATGAACCTCGAAATGGAATTACCAAGTTAAGAGATTTTGCTAAATATTGCCAAGTTATTAAATGTGAATTCTGGGAGTGATCTTGAATACTTTGGTAACTAATCTTGACTACTGTTCTAGGACCTTAATATCTTAATCTCAGAAGGCAGTATATTTCAGCAGCACTGACAATCAGCTTTTTTAAAATAGTGCTTCATGCAAAAGAAAGATGGCACTGCCTGCTTGCGTAATGATTTACAGTCTTGGGAACCCAGACCGACAGCTCTACTCTGTCCTGCCGGGTTGCTGTCAATGGAAACCAGCTCAGTGGCTGTGGGATTGGGTTGTAGGTGGCACAGAGAGACGCATTAAAGCTCTGGGATCAGCCACCACCGCCGAAGGAAGCACTGTTGCTTCTGGCGTTGCTTAAAATTCAGTGGCCAAGAGATTTGGTTGCTATGCAACACATCCATTGCCCCTGTTTTTTAAGGGGGAGATTATGTTTCTAGTAGGGCTTCAACCCATGGTTTTTCCTCTTTCTGTTAGCTACGGTTCACTCAAATTTTAACAATTCAGATGTGCTTCAGTTTCATTTCTGAGCCCATAAAGGAACTGGGAAGAGCCAAGTGGAGCCCTGGTGTGAAGTGCGGTCCTCTGTCAACAAGAACAAACAGGCGATGGAGAGGGGGTTAATCGCTGTTGGTCACTTTCAGAGATGAAAATTAGTCCTCTAAATAATTAGATTTGCTTCCCATTTTCCCCTTAGAAGAAGAAGTAAGGCATAAATAATAATGATTTGTATCTAATTCACACAGCCAAAATATAAAACGTGACTATTGATGTGAAAACTGGACTCTTCTCTGATACTCATTCTGAAGATGAACCTCCAATTCTTCCCCAGAGACTTATCTTCCTGCTTATGACTTTTGTAATCCTAAGGGAATGACGGACCAAGTGCACTTAGCCATTGAGTTGATAATGTTTCCGTGTGCTGTCCTTGCTTATGATCTTAACCTTTTAATGATATTGTATTCTTGGTTGTACATTTTTAAGGTTTTATTTATTAGGTATTTATTAAGTGTACTTATATTCTGCATTTTCAAGTATTTTATCTCCTGATCTATAATCACACATTGTAAAGTCAATATAATATTTTATTAGCACTCTATAGAATAATAATTTTATTTTGTTTTTAATGTCAATGTATTGACTAGTGTAAGTCATAATCAGTTTGAAAGAGTTGAAAAGGAAAATAAATGTACTTTAATGTGATACCCTTTATACTTGCATGTATATGTCCTTAGCAATCAATACTGCCAGCTCTTTTGAAATTGAGAAATTTTTCATGTTTGCATTAATCCTGTCATTACATTTTCTTTTTCTGTGTCAGCAATGTAATTCCATACAGAAATGTGCTTCTCATGCATGTTTAATCTGTAAAACGAAAACAGTAAATATAAGTGTTCCTGGACTCTTGTATGTGTGTAATATGGGCCTCTATGAAAGTCAATGGTTCCTAACCTTTGAGGGAGATCATAGATCCTTAAAAAAGAAAAGCTGACACCAAAGATGATCGCTCCTCTGAAAAAAGTTGCAGCAGCACAGTTTCAGGTTGTGTATTCTGTTGCACTAGGTTCACAGATCCCTACTGTGACAATGTAGCAGATGTTAGGCTATGTCACGATCATGTGTCGATTTTCTATTCATATGTACTTATATGCTTATTAATGGAAATGTGTGATGGGTTCTGGTAGATATTTTAAAGTGTTTCAAAGTTATGATGTCACGAAATACATTTTACCTGGAAAATCACTTGGTAAGCATTTAATATATATATTTGTCTTCTAAGACAATGGAAGTTAATTTATGAACATGATACACGTATTTTGTAGTGTCATAGGTTAATATGTAGAAGTGTGCTTTGGTTTTTAATAAAGCTTTATTAAAATTAACTAGCACCTTTATCATAATTAACTAATACAAACCATTGAACTACTATTTGGATGTTTTCCCAAGTCTTAAGCCGGTTTCCTTTTCAGAACCGCGTCAAGAAGCTAGAAGAAGAGACCTACAGATACCACTGTAGCATCCCAGGAGCTAAGAAGTCAACTCTCATGGTTACAAATAGGTACTGACTTCAAGTGAGGTGTTAAAAGTTGACTTGTTTTATCGTAGATGAAAACACTACTCCTGCCACTCCTGCCTTTTTTGGTTGCCATTGGCTTGACAGGGTTTCCTTCATCTTCTGATCCCGTTTGTGTTGGTGAGTTTGAGGTGTAGCTCTTGAAGACAGCCCATTGATGACTCGTTTCCTAATGCAGTCTGGTGCTTAGTCTTTTGATTGGTGCATTTAATCCATTATTGTTATTGTTGATAAATGTGAATTGGTTGGTGTCATTTTGTAGTATTTGTATTTGGTACTTTGGGTGTGTGTGTGTTTATTTTTGTCTTTGTTCTCCCTCTAGATCTGCGGTGTTTTTCAGTGTGTTGGTTTCTGGGAGGCATTGTACATTGTGGTGGTTCATGTTTGTGTACTGTTGTTGATTTTCTGACCATAGAGATCCAGTTAATATATATTTTTTAATGCTTGTTTTGTTTGTGTGAATTTTAAGTTTTCTTGGTTTGGGAGCACTTCTATTTCTCCTTCATGTGTGCTGGGTTCTGGGTTGGCAGTTGCTTTCTCTCAAGTTCAGCCTATGTTGCTCCGTTGTTGTCTTCCTGCTTGCCTAGTTTCTCTTGAGATGTCCGAGCTGACCCTTGTAGGACTTCCTTTGTAAGTAAAGTTCTTTGTCTCTAGCTTCCTTCAAGATTCTCTCCTTTTCCTTGAACTTGGATAATTTGACTTGGTAGTTTTTTTCCTGGATTTTAGTCTATTTTGGGTTCTCTGTTACCTGAATAGTTCTTGTCTCCTCCTCTGTGATATTAGGGAAATTTTCAACCGGGAGTTCGCTTAGTGTTTTCTCTGCAGATGTTTGAGTCTTCCCATTCCAGGGTCCCAGTGAAACATAGGTTGTTTCTCTTGATGGTGTCCCACCTCAGTCTTATCTTTGGAGACTTTTGCATATTTGGTTGATTGTTTCGCTTGTTGGCTGTAATTCTTGTGGTTATCTTTGAGTTCATGGATTTTTCTTTTCTTCCATATTTTCCCTGGTCCTTGTACCATGTTTTTTTCATTTTTCTTTATCTCTCTGTTTATCAAGTGGGTTTCTTTAGGATGTGAGGTTTGTAGTATCTCAGTTTCTTCCTTTGTTATTCAGGGGTCATCCCTAGATCTCCTGTTGGGTCCTACACATCATTCTTTTATACTGTATTTTTGGTACTTCCTTTTTCTTTGATTTACCCTAAATTAATTCCCACAAAGTGGTAGTTGTTGACTAATAAGTTTTAGAACCGTCTGAGTGATGTGTTTTGTAGGATTAGGGAAGTAGGGATTAGGGTTAGAGAAAAGTATTGACAGCAGGAAAAATCTGCATGATATCCCTCAATAAATAAAATAGTTGCCTGGGTAGGAGAGGAAGGAAGGGTGGAAGATAGGAGTCAAACTGCTAGACCAGCCTGCGTCTTTAAAGAGAAGCTTAATCAGAAGAAGTGAACGCATTCACAGCATTATCTAGACAGAAGTGTCTGGACTTGGTAAATAATCATGTCGTCCCTTTTCCTCATGTATTCCAAGTGTCTTCATTCGCCTTGGTGAAGTTGTGCTGACCTCACTTGGACCCAGGACTGCCTCTCCCATCACCCTTTCTTCTTCACTAGCACGGCCGCGATCGAGGCTCTCGTTGTCTCCTGAGTCGGCTACTACAGTAACTTCCTACTGGGATGGTTTGCTGCCAGTCTGTGCCACCTCTCACCATTTACTGAGCCGAGGTTTCCCAGGACCTGTGTGTTCGAGTCGGAATGCCATGAAGGGTGTTTGTGTGTGGGTGGAGGTGGTGGTGGTAAATCAGAAAAAGAAACCCCAACAGCACACACACATTCTCTCTCTCCAAAGTCCAACCCCAGTGGACTTTATCTTTCCTCGGTATTCATTCGGCACTCCACCTACAGATTTGCATATAACCCAAATGGAGCTCCCCCTTTGCACAACTGTGCCTTTCAGTGCACTCTCCCTCTTTTCTGTGGGTTATCACGTCCTTTTCCCCATAGAGAATTCCCTCCGTTCAAGAATTGGCTCTGCAGTCACCAGCTTTAGGAACATGCCGGTCCCTCTGTACTGTGCCCCCAAGACTTTCCTTGTACAGAGCTCACCTGACCGTGCTGCAGCACTCACTCAGTGTGTCTTTCTCCTGCTAGCCGAGGAAGCCCCAGGCCTGTGTCTCCTAGATGTTATGTGTCAGATTCACCAACAACCCTTTTTACTTTTTTGGTTTCCCTTTCTGGTATTGGAACTTCAAACCAACGGTGGCTGTCTCAGTAATTTCTCTTGATAAGACACTAAAGAGACTGTGGATGTCTCTTCAGGGTGTATATGTTTTATTTCTGTTTATTGCAGAAGAAGGCAGCTCAGGGTGGTGTGATGTTAATGCTGAAGTGTTTAAGTCTGATATTGATTAGTCAGCCTAAACTGAATCTTTGCTGACATTTCCCACATCCTCATTCTTGACTAGAAGACACCAGTGACTGACAGGAACGAGCAATCGATAGTTTTCCCGGTAAAGCATGTTGAGGGACTTCTACCTTTATTGCTCCCCAGGTGAGAGCGCAGCCTGCTCCTGAAGTATTTTGTTATCCTTTTTTTCACCTTACCAACAAAATGAACGACTGTTACTTTCCTGAATTCTGTGAGATTGGCAGAAGGGGTTTTTGAAAGTCGGCTTTGTTACTTGTTAGGTATGCTCTATTTCCTCTTTATCTGGCTTCAAAAAAAAAAAAAAGCAAGTTATTTTTCTTTTCAAGTGCTAAGTTCCATTTTTACTAAGTTACCTTTGCCATTAACAGAGTGAGTTAGCTGTCTTGAACATTCATAATTTATTGCCTTTTCCCAAACAGGCGAGTGATGTGTATAAAGGAAGTTGAGATCCTGAGCCATATGTCCATTGACTGGCAGTGTTCATTTGAGGATTTCCTGTGTCCTCCTAGTGTTGATGAGAATCTGCTAAAAATTTCGGCGAAGGTAAGAAAAGAGGAAACACAACTTTAGGGTCGAGAGTATAGGCCAATGCTTTCAGACCCTATTTTGCAATGAACTGTGCACAGTTGTGAAAGAGATGATTCTTAACTAGTATTGTTACATGCTGCTATATAAGGGGTGATGCCATCAATTTATTTAACTATCCTTTATTTTCTGTGATGGCAGAGGCGTGAAATAGCACTATCTGCTGAAAGAATTAAGCTGTTGTTACTTCTTTTTGGTAGATTCGAGCCCAACTTAATAGAAGATTTTTTAACTTTTGTCTTTTTAAAATTTCATCAGGGCACTCATTTTATTATTATTTGTAGGGGGAGGTCAGATGCTTGCAGGCATCCTCCCTGAGGGTGATCATTTGCCAGACTGCAGTGGGTCGCTCCCTGCTGTTAAAGACAATGCACAGGCCTGCAGTCATCTATTTGGTTCCTGTAGGTGGGGTTTACACCCTACTGATAATGGTTCCTATCAATCCGTCTGCCATCCTGACTCTAGGATCCACCCATCTTGTCACATGTATACCCCCAATCCATCCTCTTCCTATTGCGTGTTATGTCCCTAGACCACCCCCTCTCGTTGCTGTATAACCTATAGTGCAACCCCTTCCTGTGATGTATGTCTTTACCTGTAATTAGTGGGCTTGCACACCCCCAAAAGGTATATAGGCCTAAGTTAGCAATAGAGATCTTTCTTCTCTCCTCTCCTCTCCTCTCCTCTCCTCTCCTCTCCTCTCCTCCCCTCCCCTCCCCTCTCCCTGCACCTCCCTTGACCTCACCTTGGCTCCCTCTCCTCCCCTGTTTCCATTTCCCTTTGTCCTCCTTCCCTTCCCCCTCTCCACGTGGACCACCAAGCCAGGCTGAGGTGAGCAATGCTACCATGAAATGTGTCTGACTCCATTATTGTAATATCTTTTTTATCTCTCATGCTCGCGATGACTTTAATATATTGATATATCTCAACCCTGTAATTGTGCTTACTGAACCCATGGTTTGTGATGGGGAGCTGGCCTCCCACCTCCTACTACAATTATTATCTATCTCTTAGTCCTTAGGTAATTATCAGTAGGTGCTTTGGTGTAAATAAGTATATATCTGGAATATCTTATGTTTTGTCATCTTTGGCATTTATAGAATACTGATATAATGTAAGTATGGACCAATACTGTCACATCTCTCTTCCCTATGTTACATCTTGTCCTATCGAGGAGCTTTAATTAGCAAAAATGATATCCCATAGTTTGTGTAGTCCTCAGATACCCTTTCTTTGAAATATAAGATTTTTATTATATATGTTATAAACTCTTTTGCATTCTTTAAAAAACAGACCACAAATTATCATTCTAAAGATAGTAATCTCAAAGCATATTTTTTTCCCTAAATGAAAATGATGATTGCGCTATTAACTCTGGAACACATTTACCATAAAACTTAATAGTTATGAAATACAAGCACTCTTATTCTTTCCTTTGTATGACTTTTCTTTTCATGGAAGTTTACACATAAAAGGAGCTACCACGCTACCACACCACAGTATGACCTCACGTGGGGAGTCACAATTCAGATGTCTCCCGCAGCTTAACCTTCAGCTTAAAAAATAGGCCTAAACAGTGTAGAGCACTTCTGGGAGGCAGGCACACCTAAGGCCCATCAGCCACAGGAGATGAGCAGGGCAGCCTGTGCTCGGAAGGCAGGAGGCCGGAAAGAAGGGCAAATGGAGTGGGAAGCACGGGGAGGACGTGGGATCACGTGTAGCATTGCAAACAGTGTTGTGAGACAAAGCGTGGACCAGTTGCTGAATGGAAACGGGGATCACGTGTAGCACTGCAAACAGTGTTGTGAGACAAAGCGTGGACAATTGCTGAATGGAAACGGGGATCACGCTGTAGCACTGCAAACAGTGCTGTGAGACAAAGCGTGGACCAGTTGCTGAATGGAAATGGGGATCACGTGTAGCACTGCAAACAGTGTTGTGAGACAAAGTGCGGACCAGTTGCTGAATGGAAACGGGGATCACGTGTAGCACTGCAAACAGTGTCGTGAGACAAAGCGTGGACCAGTTGCTGAATGGAAACGGGGAT